ACACAGTTTCTTCCTGAGGTCATTGCGAGTTTCATTTGGTTCGGTTCCAACCGACCGGCGTCGCAAACATCCAAAAGATCCAGAGACTGTGTAGAGGCCCATTTTCCAGGTTGGCAATTTGATTTGCCACATAATGACATGGCTGCTGGTAGTAATGTCTGGCCGATATGCGACCAGTGCTCTTTAACAGTGTTCAGTGTTCGTTTACTCAACTCCAATATCAGCGTACTTTGATACGCATTCAGAACGCTTGTCTTTGCCACTTGACTGGTGTCTATGCGCTCACAACGCGGTCGCGCGCGTCCGCCGAAACGCACGCGCAGGTCAGCGCATTCACGTGCGTTATCGGCCTTCACACTTGTGCTCCAAATTTAGCGCCAGTTTTGGACGTAGCCTCTCCAACGGTAACTGATCGCAATGTGGTCGATTTGCGTCCATAGCTAGTCCAAGTCTGGTTGGTGCGGGTGCTGTCTCGAAAGTTAGTGCCTAAGAAACATTGAGGAGCATCTTCACACGAGTGTCGTATTCACTCACCGTTATCATTACGGGAGCCTACACCTTGCTGGCCACCCAGATGAACATTCTCAGTGGACATTTTACTGACTTAAGCATTCAGATCACCTGCAAACAGCACAGTATCCGTATTTTTTTCTGCGGTGAGTGAGCTCTTTTAGTTAGTGACAGAAGTTACCTTACACCAAATCAGTGCTACAGGTTGTGCAGGCCTATGCAACCATAACAGACAGGCACGGTTTGTCCACGCACGACTTCGAAGCCTTGAACGAACCACCCAGTTTGACGACGCTCATCTGGCTGTTCATTGTGTTCCAGTCAACGAGGGCAGCTTCAGCCCAGGGGTTCAGAGCAATGTCCACACCGGCTTGACTGGTATTTGAAGCTGCGTCATTTCCGGACAAGCACATTGAGAAAATACTTCCTGTGTCGCATGGGGGGATCGCAGAGTAATCGCATGTTCGAATCTTACAGTCGAGTTTCCGATAAACAGCAAACATCGGTCGGTAGCGTCTCCAGTGTTCGGTCAAGTGTAGCCTGTTGGTCAAGCTACCACCAAGTGCGCGCGTTGAGGCATGCCAATCTTAACGAAAATTTAGGACTTCAAATAGAAACTTATGAACTGACCTTGAGCGTTTGGCTGGAGATGAAGTTGCCAACTGGACCGGGGCGACACCGTGCGGTTGCGTGTTTACACGGCTGTTGAAGCAAGTCGGAGCAGGCTAAGAATTGGGGATCGAGAACAGGGTGGATAAAAGTGAAGTTAGAACGGGATGATAATGATGAAAAAGCGCGAGGGTTAGAATTAGAAGACTGAAAGGTCTGTACAATGGCATCCCCACCCCTATCCACCGCGCTTGATACAGCAGACAGAGCACCGGCGAGAGTATCAACAGATTGTATGAAGCAAAAGTCATTGAAGCAAAAGAAAATTGGGTCTTGCACGCCCGAAAACACTGCACTCCATGACACATTTCGGTGTTATTTCACCTTATCTGCTAGAGCTAGCAGGCATCGAACCCTGGACCATTAGGATGTTAGTCGTGACCGCTACTCCTTAGCCACTGGGTCACGACGGGTAACGCTTGGCACCACAGTTCTCGACTGATTGCAGGGTCATTTTTGAAGTACACGTTGTGTATGTGAATTCCGACGCTCAGTCTCAAAGTGGACCGCGATTACCATTGAAGTGAACCTTGACCATTCAATCACAAGGACCGTAGCTGATGAAGCAGATAGAAGTAGGGTGTTGCCCGCTCGAAAACACTGCAATCCTATGACGCGTTTCGATGGTATTTCATCTCATCAGATATAGATAGCAGGTATGGAACCCGGGACCACTGGGATGTTATTCGTTACGGTTACCCCTAAGCCACCGGGTTATTGTAGCTTAATCGCGTCCTTTTTCAGTCACCATACCGATCGGTTGTCTCTGTTGGCATAGCAAAGAACCATGAAGTGTTTGACTGCGAATCTTGGTCAAGCTGGGCAATGGTCTCGGGCCAGTTGCGTCACTGGTCTTTTTCCTACATGTCACAATCAGGGGAATACTTGTGTTATAAGACACGGTAGTTATTTGATCCCGAAATGGTCTTCACGTCACGCGCAGAGTAGCCAGTGGAATGCGGATCAGTACGGCCCAAGTTTAGCCTCTAGACTGAGAGCGTTCCACTAGTCTTTGGCGCGAAAATTCACATGCAAAATCGAACAGAACTAAAATATATCCCTTAATGTAAGCGCAATGTACCTAACATTTCGCCATTAGTCATAATTTTATGTTATTTGCTGTAACTCATCATCATCAATGCACGTTAGCCGAGGGTGAGAAACACACCTCGGCTAATGTTGTAACTGCAACCTACGATATGGTTAAATATGCGTATAACTATTGGAACACACATTGGTGTGTGGAAGCAAATAAAGTGACCCGTTGCAGGCGATGAAAAAATGGTGTGAACGAAGTTTCTGATGAAGAAACATCTGTCAACGTGAGATAAGTGTGCGTATGTCTGCATATAACCTAACCGGCATATATGCTACGTTCCGTTAGTTAACACAGCAATTACGGCCGCAAACAGCTTTAGCCCTTATGCGCTGCGCCCGAGTAATCGTCCAGTAAGATAAAACTGAGGATATTTGCGATTTTATTGCGTATCAGTGCACTGCGTTTCTGGCTTTATCCTTATAAGCAGTTTAATGCTTTCGCAACCCAAAATCTTTATTGACATTATTTTCTTATCCACCATTCAACTGGTTGATTGGTGGAATGTTATCCGCCAAACATTGTACAAGAGAGCCCAGAGTGGAGACGAAACGCGTAACCTCGTACGACTGCTCCGAGGCCAAGAAGAGGAAGACTGACCGATACCAATAGCTCATTTACTGTCTCAGCTGATGCATATTTATACCTCAATGGTACGGTGGCGTACTACATAGAATGTAGTGGAAGGCGGGTGTTGGGCAGACACGAGTTGCCACATAGTGATAGTCTCCAGAAGGAAACACAGTTTAGGTCAGTGGGACTTGGGGCGGTACTTAACAACTGTATTCTGAGGGAGCTCAGTTTGCTCACTGCACGATTCGAGTCGCCGCGTGATGACACTGTTGTCGATGTGAGCTTAGCGAACTGCGCAAGTTTCGCGGAGCTACGCGAGCTCCGCTGCACATTTGCTGACATGCATTCATTAGTCACATCCAGCTGACAACTTTCTTTTGTGATTGACCTTTCTTAACTCTCCCATAACCCTGTTTTTATTATCTCTGTCTCCACCACCATTGCTATTACTGACGACGCCGCCTATGGCAACGGGACTCCATGCGCTTCTGTGCTTGAATCACAGCTGTTTAAGTGAACTTGGTGGTTTGACTATTTTCTGATCTACGCACTAAAGTTGTTCGCGCTGCAGCGACATATTCTGAGCCCCTCAACCTATCGCTGTTCCCGTACGTTAATTTAGCTACAATTACTTGTGTGGGCTTTATCGATATTAACAACAATTCACGATATCTCTTCAACACACCGTTTAGTTGCCGATCGATCAACTTGACTGCGTGTACGGTGTAAGTGATGGCTGGTGAACTGTTTTTTCGCTTTTGCGGCCGTCCCGCGCACTTTAAACGTGAGGCGCAGACGTAAAGCTTGCAACGCTGTATGATGCACGTTTCGTTAGTGCTTTACATACCCTCAAGGTGACCTCATAAGTTGGTGTTAAGTGTACCATAGATAAAGAGACTAGAACTGGGTACTTTATGGTCAATTCGGTCCTAAGTTTAAAGAGAAGAGTTGGACCATAGGAGCCATGATTCCGTTCACCCACTGCAATGAGTTCGTGGAAAATTCGAGATATACTGATGCTCTGCTCCGAAACCTTGTCTTTGGACCGGTCGGCCGATGGCCGAGTGGTCTGCAGGTTTGCTTTGCAACCATAATGTCACCGGTTCGAATCCGCGTAGGAGTGGGCGTTCTCGCGGTATACTCAGCCCGCCCGCGACTGGTGGTGATCGCGCGGCAGCAAGGCGCCGTTACGGCGTACAGCTGACACATTTATTTCTTTATTTTTTAAATTTCTTTGGACCATTACAAAAGTGGAATTCTTGTGACAGGCTCCACAGCGGTAAATAGCGTCAAGAACATGCACCATCTGCAGAACCAAAGGTGCGTTCACTTTTGGAACGGCAACCGTATTCGATCTTGTTTTCGACCTCAGTTCTCACACCCGAAAAAAACTCAAGTCTTTACTTAGTGTATCCTCTACCTTAACATTTATTCATTGAGATATATATTGTTTAAAAAGCGTGTTTTTATGAATCTAGTCCTCACATACGAACTTTGTGTCCAAACTTGATTAATCCATCGTCTTCGTATGTGGTCGAATATCATTGGGAATACGTACGAACGTTTGAGACTTCTAGTGGCATGTAATCCGGAAAGGACTTCGCGGACAAGCCAAAAGTGTATGTTGTGCAGCACGTTTGCGACTTAGAGGTCTTAAGCTTCTTGTCTATCTTACTTGTAGTTCCAGAACACAAATGAAAGGCGCAGTCACCTTTAAGAACTGGCCCAAATTCCCATCTCGCGAGTCTCTACATGTCATTGCTTTGAGCAACGCTTTTTACACATTTCGCCTTTCTTCCGTCTCACTTTTCAGTCCGAAGTCTGATCATTCGGCCATTATCGCCTTGGTTGCATATTGTACTTGTTAGTCTTTCTTATTTACCGGACTACATCCTTTTTCCTTGTTTTGCTGTATTTTCCTGCATTGTCAATCACTCCAAAACGTCGCATATGATTGATCTCTCTATAACCGATACGTGATCAAGTCTGATTTCCGCGCTCCACCTAAGCCTTTGCTGACGTTAAGTCCCTCGGCACACAGATTTCTACTTAACTATTGGTTTGCTGATTTTCTAAGCTATTTCTACTTTCTTTCCTCTTGTTGAACTTTGTCTTCGGTAGCCTTCATCACCTAATACTTTTTCAACCTTAGGGCTCCAGGGATAGCTCCACAGAAGCTCAACAGCATCAGCCATCTAGCTCACCGGCCTCCATGGATCGTTCTTCGCTTGATTCCCTTGCTAGAATGCGGATCAAGATGTTCGAAGGTGCGGACCCCGCTTCGGTTCATGAGGCCAATCGAGAACAGCTTCGTGCTTTCCTTAAAAGTCAGTTCTGTCTAGTTGGCCAAACTGCAGGTTGGTGGACACACGAAATTTGTTTCAAGAGGAATGTCACTCAGTATCATAGCGTACGTCTTCTGTTTATTCTTTTCCACTTACTCTGTGTGCGGTTTGAAACAAAGTCAAAAACTAGCTAAAATTTCTTGTCGGTTTACCTATCAACCACTGTCAGCTACCATTCATCGAGCGAGCTCTGTGTTTGCTACTCTGGTTCTTGTGCGAAATGCTTTCTCTGGAGTACCTCGCGCAGTCCTGTTCAAGCGCATGAATGACGTGCCATTCTAGATCAAGTGCTCACTGTGCTCCTAATTTCCTCTGATCCACCGCATATAGTATTTGCAATGGTGCCCAGTAATAGTTTCGCGTACTTGCACACTCTATCCGATGCTCTTTCGAGTACGAGTTTTTGAGATTCCTAATTATCTCAACTCTTCGCGTTCCTGGCTTGTCTTCAGATTCAGTCTCTCTTTGGGGAAACTAGAGTAACTGACTGATATTAGATTTAGGTGATTGCCTCACGGAATGCTTTAAACCGTTAGTTCACTTAGATGCATGTGCCGGAGCATTGAAAACAGTATGCTAAGCAGCAATCACATCTTTTTATAGTAAATTCATCGGTTGCTAATTACATCTTAAAACTTTCATCTTCACCGTGCACTGGTTTTTCCTGGAATTGCGCATGCCTGTTGTTGTATTACGTTTGCCTAGCAGAAATATTTTATTGTAACAGATTTATATCTTTTCATTGATCTCACCATAATTGAGCTGGGTTCGATTCGTAGACTGTCATTTGTGAAAAAAGACTATATGGATGCAACTGCTTTTGCCTACATCTGGCAAAAGACAGGATGTGTACGAAGAAGCAAAATGACTTATTGTAGAGTAGACAAGTTCTCAATTTCTTCGTATAGTGGAACTAAGACTCCAACGTCTGAGAGAATGCATGTACCCCACTCATTTCGCTGTGGTTTCTCATCGGATCTCCCGACTATCAACGTGACCTATCCTCAGCGCTACTTCACGTGTTAACCGATTACTTCGTAACCCTGTCATACGCCACCGACTGGACACCCATAAGCTTCCACACGACTAGACGCAGTGTCACAAGGTAGCGCCCGCGGAGCTGGCGATCAAATGGCTCACACAGATGATCTTGTCAACGTATGTACAAAACTTGTCCGGTTGTCACTCACCAACTCGTTGACTTTAGCATTTCTCACTCAGTACAGGCACGATCATTCGTTCAACCTCTTTAGTGCTCAACATTCATGTTGGGCTCTGCACAGTCGTACTAGTTTCGCTACAACATGGGAACCGTAACGCGGGAAACCTTAAACTTACGTCTTAGCCGTTTATATCGATGGCCATGCATGCAGGAACCACCGGGCGTTACAACTACATGGGTGGGAAATCCGATCAAACCCTTCCCATTGAATGTTTTGTTCTAGCGGGAATTAGTGTTGTACCGCCCCACTCATCTGACGCTACTTTGCTGTTTACTGTTTTGAAATGATGTGTGCAGTGACGAGAGGGGGCCCCATTCTACAGCGGTATCCAACACGTCATCTGTGCACTTCAAGTTTGACAGTCGTTCATCCTCCAGAACCGCTCCCGGTGCAGTAGCAATGATAAAAGTGAGAAGAAAATGTCATTCGTGGCTCTTTCTATTAAACAGCTAAACGGAGCGCATACCTACGCATGGCGTTACGACACTAGGTCATGCTGACTGCTTGGATGCGCCTTACATCGGACGTGCGCTCAGCCGATTAAATATGGAACATGGGAGTAGGTGGAAAATTCGAGTGAGCGTCTACTGTGTGAACGAGGCCCGTGCATCGACACCAACAGACGGTCAATTATGGCAAACGGAAGCAAACCGCTCAAGTGGAATGGGTCCACATTGGTTGAGACCAGGACGCCGAAAATAAGGAGGTCACCGTTCCCATAATGATAATGTACGGTTAACCTATAAATAAAACCGTCCCCTTTTCATAAAATGCACCCCGCTTACTGAGTGTTGGCTTCTGGTTTCACGTTTGGTTTGGGTGTCAGGTAGAGCAGACCGTAGGTAGCAGTACCGCAGTCAAAGCTGCACAACATTTTTGACCATGGAATCGAAGTGATATGTGGCTATTTGACAGTGTACGTAGCCTAAGGAACATGGTGTATAAAGTGGGTCTACTTGTGGACACATCTCATCTGCATGAACTTGCTTTTATTCAGACGTGGATGTCCCCGCATATCACGGACGGTAAAGTTTGTTTACTTGGCTACGCACTGCTTAAAACTGATCGCTCTCTTGGTTACCAAAGCGGATGCGTTGTACTCTATGTGAGCTGTTGCTTATATGTGTTGAGGACCTGCGCATTTTAATCGTTGTGTCAAACCGTTGAAGCCCTATAGGCTGGAGTGTGCATTTACTCCGCTCAGGTCACACTTGCATTGTGATATACAAAAGTCCTGGAATTACCTCCTTTTTAGATTATAGGTATCAAGATCTAACAGATTTCAACTTCGCTTGAGATCTTTTGGGTTGATCTTTCGTGCAACTCAGCCTCCGTAACGTTCGGTACAGAATTACTTGAGCCGAACCTTCAATTGCTGTTGCACCAGTTTGCCAACCTCTCGACTAGATACATGGACATGTAATTGCCATTTTTGCCAATTCTCTAGATTTCGTAAGTGACGTTTCGTACGGTACACCTCTGGAAACCAGCGATCATGTATGCATATCCTTTCGATTTTCTTTTTCTAGACACCATCAGGGTACCGTTGAGTTTACTTCCGAATATTTGGCATGCGGGCTATAAATTGCAGGGAGAGCTACGATTGCGCGGGCAAATGCCTACTGAACGTGCGGGTCTAGATGCTGGTACGTCTACCAAACAGCTCCATCATTCAGCACATACGATAGCTATCAGGAGGTTACGAATACGTGTATGCACACCCTGAATGCAAGAAGTGTTTCGCTTGTTCGTCGGCAACTAATCTCAAAACCCTTTTTGCTGACGTATAGTGGCACAGTGGTGCAAACCTCTGCTAGCAGACGGGACCCGTATGGCTACTGTCTATGATAAGTCTTGTATACTTAGCGAACAATATACTAAGGCCTTTGTTCGCGAGACCTCTTAACTACAACTTGAATTGTTTTCAAAGCTTCCGGAGGATTCCCACCTAACTTTGGCCTAACGGAGACCCAGGCCTTCGGGTTATTGCAAAGCATAGACCTTTCTGAAGTTTCTGGCCCTGATTCAACTCATCCGAAGCTGTTGCATGAATTGACCGCTAAACTGATTGGTCCTCTCACATACGTGTTTCTAGGTTGCTTAACAGATGCGTCTTACATTAGGACTAGAGAGAAACTATCATCTGTCCGATGTTTAAAGGCTGTGACAGTACTGTACCTGCGAACTACCGGCATGTCAGTTTGACAAGCGTGGTAGTCAAGTTGTTTGAAAATCCGAATCAGAATTGGTTGCCTTCTTACACTTAATGGTCCTAATCTAAGTGCATTGTTTGCGCGCCGGGGTTGCGGTTGGGAAAGGAGGAGAGGAGGCCAAGCAATGACTTGCTCGAGAGAAATGAAAACCCTCACTTCGAAATTGGCGTCGGTTGGTGCATCCCGACTGCCTGGCTGGGGTCCTAAGGACGATGAACACGTTTGGTTGGACACACTTGCTGATAGGTCTAGGTGCCGGCCCCAATGGCGTTTATGTTGTGAGTTCCTTTGTCCATCCCCCTCCCACTTGGCCTCACCCTCCAATCACGATCTCTTTCGTTATGCGTAATATAACTCTTTTTGGGGCATGATAGCCGGCTGTTACCTCTCCGAAACGATGCCCATCTGTTACTGGGGACTCAGCTGGCGTGCCTCTTGTTTTTTCTTCTTATCTTTCGTTTTCCACCTGCACCTAACATGTATACTAATGATGATGATGAATCCAAGTGCTTAATCTCGTCACTACTGAGTAGCCACTGCCTTTCATCAACGATTAATGAGTCCATGTTTCGACCGAACCGGCTCCACAATGGTGTCGGTTGTATCTTTAATGGCTCTCCAGAATTCAGAAGACTTCTCTACTAATTTCCATCCACTTGGCCGGCAAATCGTTCTTCTAAGCATTAATTCCAACATTGGGATTCTTTGAATTTGGCGTGTAGTAGTTTACTCCCATTCTCACCTATTATCTCACTCACTTGACCTTTACCAAGCCCTTGCACCGAGCAATTTAGAGCATTAGGTTTCTATTCTCCCTACATTAGCGACTTATGCCTTCTCACGACCTCTCGGAAACTTCCCTTACAACCGTGTCATTATACATGTCGCACGCAACTTTACGGAAGCCTCAAAAATCCCTTGACTGTTCAATCGCTTCAATCGGAACAGCTTGGGATTTCCTCTTGAATTAAAGGCGATAGCACCTAATTTACCTTTCCTAACAAACTTTGTAATTTGAATCCTGATTGTTGCTCTTCAGGTTGCGGCTTCAGATGAGAATCCAGTAACCCAGGACGGGGCATCTTTCGCCTAAATTAAAACACACAGCACTTTGCTGATGTGTTTGAGAGCCTTGTCTGGATCTAGATAAAAGGGCTCATCAAGCTGCAATGCTATCAGTATCATCGTCATTCTGCATCTCGGTATTTGCGCTCTGGATTCGTTGCCACCCAAGCAGAGTTACGCTACCAATAAAAATAAGGAGAACGATCGACCTGATGTTTAACCTAAATGACCTAAGCAGACTTGTTGATCGTTTTTCCGAGCTTGGTAAAGAGATCACATACGTTTCACCACCATGCGAGATGGCATCTTCAGTGTGGTAATAGGCAGTGTATAATGCTGCTGCTTATTACCGCACTGAGGATGCCACTTCGCATGGTGATGAAACGTATGCGATCTCTTTACCAACTCGGGAAGACGATCAACAGGTGAGCAACCAAACCGGGCTACCAGTGTTCCAAATTATTTCGACCTAAGCAGACTTTCAGATTCAGCTCGCTAAGACATTTTCAACCCAGAATGATTACAAACTGCGTGCTGTCGTGCGTAAAAGGCGGCATCGGCGAA